AGGAAGATTAAATCTTTATTTGTATTCACATTTCCCAAAACAAGACACTGGAATTGAACATTGATCGACAATAAAGCAGTAACAGAAAACGCTTTACCGGTAAAACTAAAATTGGTTTAGATAGAGCCGATCAAATACACATGAGCCCACTTATTATAATAATAATAATTAATGTTGCCAATATCCCAATGTGAGCCTTTTAACATCCAGTGTTCTCACCAAGGTGTAATCTGGATGTAAACTTAAAGTGGCTCATGTGCTGAACGGTCAATGTGGCCCAAATAGCAGTACTGCTATGGCTTACTGGTGGCCCAGATCTGGCAAACAGGAGTGGAGTGCCCAAGTGCCATCATTCCATGTGGGCCAAATCGGGGCCATAACAACTTCGCTGTGTGTGTATATGACTAATAATAAAGTCTATTTCAAAGAATGTCAAATATTAAAAGCATGACAACCAATTTTACCAAAATGTATTATTTGTTGGACTAGATTCAGATGTGTACAGTCACACTCAGGGACGTTGGAACCATTTCAGGGAAGATGTTATGATATGAACAGAGCTGTCAAACACAACAGGCTGTTAAAAATGATCGATTATAAGCCCACGGCTTTCATTTCAGCTATTCGGAAAACTAGAAATTGAGCTGATTTAAATTATGTTTAGGGTTATTAAAATAATGTCATATAGGCATGTCACAAAAGTTTTTATCAATCATGAAACATTATTAAAATCCTCAAATAAAAAAGAAAAAACTCATTTGGAAAATCATTGGTATTTGACCGTCCACATATTTGAACAAGAAAGCACTTCTGAATGAAGACCGGCTGGTCATATGATCATACATCTGCATGAATAAGAACATGAGGCCAAATGAAAGCAGGTGAAAGCAGAAAAAAGGGGCCGTCTCTTTCAAGAAGAGACTCTTTGTTTGTGATAGAAGTTGACCTGCACACACTGCACACAATGCTGTCACTGTCTGCAGTGTATTCTAACTCTTTAAACCAGGCGGCCTTGCAGGAGTGTGTGATGCCAACCAGTAGATTTTAAGAAAGGGAATGTATAATTTTCTGATGGTCTGAGGGACACTGTCTCTGCCTTTTGAGTAGCTTAAGAAGGCAGGAATAGGGAAGTGGTACAGCTGAGTGGGGTTTACTGCAGCTGCCCGTTACTGCCCACCAACTGGCACTGATCTGGAAGGTGCCAAAAACAACTTGCCCGAACAAAACGGATGTAAGCCTTAAAGGTACAGTGTGTATAATTTTATGATATCTAGTGTTGAAGTTGCATGTTGCAGCTGAACACCCCTCACCTCACCCTCTCCTTCCAAACATGAAAAAGAAACTATGGTAATTGTCATAAAACTCAAAAGGTGTTTAGTTTGTCCAATTTGGACTAATGTAGAAAACATGGCAGCCTCCATAGAGAGGGTCCCCTCACTGTAAATATAAAGTATTTAAATATAAAGGGCCTTTTCTGGGGTAAAGAAAACTACAATTCATACAATTTAGATGAAATGAACTAATGAAAACATCATGAGGATTATTCTACATTAAATTTCTGCCAATAGTTCCCTTTGACCTAAATCTTACACACTGGTCCTTTAAGTTGCCCACTTGTAAAGTACCAAATGTGACCCAAATATACCAAATCCCACATGGGCCTTTCTTGGCAAACCTGCAGTGTTCTAAAAGGGTATGAACATTTGGTGGCCTATTTGGTAAAAGGTGAATTCAACAAAAAGATCCCTGGGAAATGCAACAAAACCATACAAGAGAACAAAAACTAGCACAAAACTAGACAACTCTACAGCCTCACAACTCCTCTCTTCCCCCTCCACTACTGACTTGCATTTGACTTTATAGCCTCACCTGCCTGGAACCTACCACCTGCTCTGGTAAGAATAAGTTGAGCTGAACAGGAAGACAAACAGAAACCACACTCAAGACAAGACCAAGTTTGGACTCTGGGTTACTGTCGACCTCACAACTCCATCTGTCTGCACCAATACAGAAGATAAATTAAATAGGTTGATTAAAATGTGATCTAATGCAGCACACTTCACCCATTCTCTGTCACCTTGAGTCTGCCCAGCCCCTCCTCTCTCTGAGCCCTGATCATGCAAACCTGTTGTCACTCTCCCTGATCGACCTGCTGATCTGACATACCTGGAAACAAAGCAACATCACAAACATAACAGAATCAACTGTCAACACATACTGGCTGATAATGAAAATAAAAATAATAATCAAATGTTTAATATAGGGAGACAGGGCCTTGTGAAAAGGGGGGGTGGGGGAAGCACCCAAATAGCAATAAAACTAATTTTGGCCACATTTGGTTGACATGTGGTATTGCTATGGCTTACATGTGGCCCAGATCTGGGAAACAGGAGAAGACATACAGTATGTGGGCTGGATGTGGGATGTGTGGGACGTGGGCCAGATTCAACCCATAACAATTTTGCTAAGTGGGAATGCTTTAAAATGTCTGTACGCCTAATTTGACCGAAAATACCAGCAATCAATGTGCGGATCAAAAGTTCTAACATGCAGGTTTATCATTTCTCACAATCACATGATCTCATGGACAGCAAAAATAAAACAAATGAGTTTGAATGATGAGGGACAAACTTGAATTTACAAACGATATTCCTAGCCTGACTCATCAGAGATGAAGGCTCACACAGCCCTCGCTCTGTGGACGCCGCCAATATCATAAAAAACTAAAGTTGAAGTGAGGAATTTGTCAGGAGATGGTTTGAAAGAAATTCCACCCGACATGACATCTGCTCAAGAGATTTGTAGTATTACTGACATTTCAGTCTGATGTCTGACTGTACAGTTTAATATTAAGTGGCACCATGTGGTCTTTGCTCTATTTAACCTCCTCTGTGTTTGCATACTGGTTAAATAAGTCAAATTGAGCCTTAAGTTGTATTTAAATTAAGGAGGTAGAGCGAGTCATCCACTAACCAGATGGTCAGTGGTTCGATCACTGGCTCTGCAGTCAGCGTGCTGCAGTGTCCTTGTATAAGATGCTGAACCCGCATATTTGCCACTAATGGCTGTGCTGGCAGTGTGTGAAGAAACAATGCAACATATAGTGCTGTACGAATGTGTGTGTGTTGTTGTCGCTAAGAGCGTTACATAAATCCATATCCAAAAAATCTAAATCAGATCTAAAAGATTTAGTGAAAGGACAATTTCAATTTATTACAATATGAATAGTGGAATGCATTTATTTAGCGCTTTACAGGGCACATTGACCCATTCACATTCATTCAAAACATTTAAATATTGATCACATTCATACTCATGGCACAGAGACAGACCTGAGGAGCTGGGTATGACTGGTGGGTGATCTACCATCATCCTTTTATTGGCTGCCTTAGAACTGACTTGAAAGTAGTGTTTTAATTTTAAGGCCCTGGTTTGACACCGAGTTACTTGACTGAGCCTCTAAATCGGTACTCACCAGCCCATAGCCTGAGAGTTTCCGATAAATCCAGGCCACAAACCCAGGGTGACAAGACCTGTGCCGTCATAGCCTCTACCCTGAGGAAGACATCCCTGTTTTTAAATCATCCCTCAAAACTCACTTTACAATATGGCTTTGAACTGATTGTTGTAATCTTAAAATTGATTTTATTACACATCGTTAATTATTATTAGTTATTATTATTCATATTATATCAGATATAATTTCATCGTTATTTATTTTTTGTCTTTGATTTCATGTTTTCTTTTTTTCCTTCATTGTGAAATATTTTAGTTTCGAAAGGTTCTATATACATAAACACTAGTGTTACCCTGGGCTGATAACAAGATGACATAATGTACTTTGACATGACTTGTTTGTCTTGAACTTGAACGACTAGAAACATACTGAACCTGTAACTGATGGCAAAACAACAATTTCTCACCTATTGTTGTGTCAAACCGTTTTAATGCACGTGTTTCTTGCCATGTTCGACTTCTTTGAATCAATGTTGCTGCATTCCACTATTTGTTTCTGAAGACTGATCATCAAAATGTGAAAATAAGACCAAAGTTGAAATTTGAAGGAATTATTTCTGTGACAGCAACATTGAGTTGCAGGGCGGGTACAATCGTTTGAGTTACAGGTTTGAGGTCTTCCGTTCTGCAGCTGATGAAATGATTAAGATGACGGGACCTTGTCAGAGTGAGAGCCATGTGATTTACTCTGTGTTGTCAAAGCCCGAGATTTACACACTGGGTAGCAAACAGACGCAACCTTGATGAGATCTCACCTCAGGTCAACTGCAGGCTGTTATTGAGGGCCTGTGTGCTCGCTCTCTGTGCGTATATATACTATATTTATAGTTTCGTCTGTATCTATCTGTGCACTCATCTTTGGGTTTGCATGGCCATTTTCAGACTCCGCAGGATGTCCGAAGAATTGGGTCCAGACTTTCTCCGCAGTTTGTCTTTCACACATGAACAAGGCAGCAGCAGATTTTTTGCTCAGACACCTTCACAACAACATAAAAGTCTCTGGAGCATTCAGCTGAGGCGGGGGAGCAATTCCACAGTAGAAATCACATGTTTTTTTGTTTACAGCACATCAACACCGATCACCAAAAGCTCTCATGACAATTTCGTCAGTGTCTTCTACACGTATGGCACTGCTTTTTCATCTGGAGATATATTTTTGTTTTGTATGTTTTTCCTTTTAGGGTGTTAGAAACCTCACTGAAAAAGAGCAGCTGTAGTGTGTGTGTGTGTGTGTGTGTGTGTGTGTGTGTGTGTGTGTGATAGAGACAGAGGTGTGTCTGTGTTTTGTTGTGCAGTAAAACTCCACCTCCATTATTTCCTCTCACTTCTGTGTTGCTTTTAGGAAACTTCTCACTCTGCTGCCACATTTCACTCCCATACTGGAAAACACTAATTTTGAGTTTGGTCCAGCAGTTTTGTGGAGACTGAGCCAATATTGACTTACACTGCCACTGAACACCAGCAGGCCTGAGGGAAACACAAGATGTGGAGCTGATGTTCTGGAGGTCAACTACCATGGTTCTTCCATTCAAACCTTATTTTACTCTGGTGCTAAGTGCTCATTGCTATTTCTTACATGTTTTCTTATCGCCATGGTTGCTATTATAATGACAAATTCAATCAAGTAATTCTATACAAATACAATACTATACTATACAAATGCATTTATTGACCCATCCATCCACCGTCTTGATGTATTCACACTAAACATGATAGAAAACATTACATTTAAAGTGACCCATTACACTGAACTTTAATATGTACTTGAAATACACAGAGTCAACATGTTGGGCCAAGAAGGATTTTGTGTGTGACCTCATCCCTGTGCCATCCCTATTTTGTATGAACAGTGTTATTCCTCTGTGCTAACCAAGATGCAGCAAGCCAAACACACACACACACACACACACTCCCTCTCTCTCCAGTTCTCCAGTGAGATAACTTGATTTGGCACTATATAAAAAGAAAACAGCCAGTTATTCTCCATTTTGTGTTTCAGCATAGACTAAGAACCTGAAACGACTGCCTTCTTTTCTATTTATTAAATTGGGAAATGGTTTTGGAATGAGAATCGATTCTGAATGTATCGTGACGCCAAGAATCTGGCTCAAATTGTAATTTATTTGGACTCATCTCTTATTCCATTGATTTCACTTTTGTCTAAGAGTTTTGCATCTGCATCAGACCTGCTGGTAGCTGACTGGAGCCTTGCATGTTTAAAACCTGCACTCAAATGGTCACCTTATCCTCGGCCCTTCTATCGTCCCCGGGGTGTCCTCCACTGCTACTGTGTATTTGTGTGAAGCAGTGAGTGTGTGTCCTTCCCACTGCTCTTCTTGCGCCTTTGGTGTGTGGTTCTCTTCTATCAGAGCCCAGGGAGGTGGTAGAGGAGCAGGTAGGAACAAGTGTTTAGAGGCACACTCATCAGCTCTCAGCAGATCAATAGGAGGCTATTAGAGCTTGGCCCTGTTACAGGGATTGACTTCTGCCGGTGAGGGGCAGAGAGCTGCCTCATGGGTTATTCATGTTCTGCCCCACACACACACCGTAGATGTGTTGGATACACATTCCATCTCAGTGTGCGAACAGATAAAAAGCAGAACAAAATGACTACGAGAGGGTGTGAAAATCAGGCTGCAGTATAAGTGGAGTGTGTCGGAGCAACCGCAACAATGAGACTGTAAAATGTGAAAACAACAGTGAAATGTTCAATAATAGTCCTGCTGGAGGAACTGAGCCTGAAATACATTCACAGCAAGGGCTCACGTATGAGAGTAAATGCACGAGTGTTGCTATGGAGAGACACAGAAACATGCAGCCCGCTCAGTTTCCTAATAAATGGTGACAATGGCGATTTAACACAAATAAGATGTTTTAGCAGTCACAGCAGAAAACACTTGCTGATGGTGACAGAATCATATGACTAGTATCTGGTCACTGTGGCCTTTGTGATCTATTCTTTGAAGGATAGAACATAGAAATCTAAGAAGTATGGAACTCTGGAAAGAAACTAATAAAAAATAATATAGATAACTATTCCAATCACAAAGTGAGTTTGGCTTTATCATGTGTGACATGTCAATCTTAAATCCACTAACATACCTCATAGTTATGTGTCTGCCATAAGCACATAATACAGATGAGTTAATAACCAATGAACAGCATCAGAGCTTTAGATAACAAATTGAATTCTTAAATAATGTAAAAAATATACCATGTGTGCAAACATATTTTACATATATAAAACAGCAGCATTTCCTCAGTGCTTATTATGCTAAAGGTTAAAGGAATATTATAAAACAAGGCTAAGGACAAATATAAAAAATTATTGTTGATCTTTCAAAGGGGTAAAGGTGTGAAATACAGTAGCTGTGAGGAGAAATTAAGAAGTTGTGGTGCACTTTGAAAATGTAATGTAATAATTGGTATTCTTGTCTGCAGCATACATGTTGCTTTCTGAATCGCTCTTCATGTGTTGATCATAAAAAATCAGAAAACCAAAAGGGATGAATTTATATTTTGTTCGATTCATTATGGTTTTTCTTAATTGTTAATTACTTTAAAACAGCAGATATATGGCACATATTCTGAATCTGAAGCCTGACATGTTCCCCTGCAAATGAATGTGATCATGATTTGTTATTTTTCACAGGTCAGTAAAGCATCATGGGTCAAAGTAAAAGTATTTGAACCTTTGACACACCTGCAGAGGAGGGGGCATGCTTTGGAATTTTCCTTGAAGTATTTTCTATTCTTGATGTGCTAAAGCTGTGAAAGACTTTCTTTTTATACATTTCACGCTCTCTCTCACCTAATCACCATGGCAACCACACCCTCATTGATCCATCCATCCACGGAAAGTCTCTGCTTAACACGCTTCATGTTCATTTAGCATAGCAACAACAGCTCCAGAGGGATCATTATCAGCTGACACTCTATAAACACGCTCAACTCAAAATGTAAATCCAAAGATGCACACACATACACACACACACAAACACAGACAAAGGCTTACACACTAATATCCAGACCGAGAATTGCACTGATTTAATTGAACTGACACACCGACACCGACACTGAAACACACACACACACACACACACACACACAGACTTATAGTTTGTAGGTGTTGCTCATTAATGGCATTGTGTAGAAATAAGCCTGAGAGTTTCTGCCTGCTGGACGCACCGTACTCTTTAATCCGTCAAAAATTAATGATCTAATATCTAATTAAACTCAGGAAGGAGGGAAGTCAGACTCCTTCATTATACTCCTTCAAGAGCGCTGCAGTTAGTTTGCCCTGTACAGAAACAATGGGCTGGAATTAAGGCAATAAGTTGTATCCCTTTGAGCTTTCGATAACTTCTAGTTAACAAGAACTACACTGAGACCAACTCTGTTTCGGGAATATCTAAATTCAATCACTCACAATTCTCTCTCTCTCTTCTAAATTGAAATATTTCTTATATTTCATTCAGTCTTAGCACAGTAATGTTAATTAAAACACTGACTGTCTGTTTGAAATTATTATTTAAGTAACGCAGCCAGCCAATTAGCTCCCCTACTGTGAATTGTTTGAAACGTCTGACACACATTTTACTCTAAATGACTTTAACAATAGCCTATACAGTCTTTTCTATTTCATGTAGGAATTTTACTTCCTACCAATCCTCACATTAATATACTATTACATAAAAGGTTTATTTCCACCTCCAATAATTCAATTGTAGTGTTCTCTCTCTCCTGGAACAAGGCACCGCATGAGAAAGATGCTTTTCTTACCTGTAATAAAAAGTCAAAAAGAGCCAGTCTTCCCCACTCTGAGTGGTGGACTCCCACACAGGGCGCAGACCTCAGGTCAGTGTCCCTCCCACAGTGCAGCAGCAGCAGTTTCTGGTACTGAACCCAGCTGAGTGGTACTGAGTTCTGGTCATTGTCTCTGTCAGTGAGGTGCTGAATATCTGGGTCCCACCACAGTACCGGCCTGGGGGTGCCCCTGATGTAGCGATATGGTAGAATGTCACTGTGGAAAGTCCTCAGCACTGCAGGGAGACTTCTGTTGAGTCCCAGCACTCTGTCCAGGTGGAAGGCAAAAACCTCAAACCAGTCATCGGTGCGTTTGATTAGGGAGCAGCGCCCCTGCTGGCAGCGCTCACTGTGGCTTTCAGGATGTCTCTGCCCGTGTCTATGCTGAGGAGAGTCTCTCATCTGTAATGGCTCCTGTGATGGAGAAATTGAGTTATATAAATTTAATATGGTTCATTAACTCTGCAGTATTAAAACACTAAATTGTATTGCACATGTTACATAAACATCAGATTAACTGGCTTAATTCTATATTTTGCATCCCTCCGAGACACTTTATATGTGGAGGGTATCGTCCACTAACAGTGAGTCAGCATATGAGCCGTTCACACATACACAGCCGTTATAGCTTGTTTTCAGTCCAAATGTAAATCTAATCCACTGGTAGACGTTAATTGAAGTACTCATTCACCACCTTTGTCATCGATGTTATGATTCAACATTCTATGCAATGTTGAAATAAACCAAAATGATTCTTTGGCATGATGAATAAAATTAATCTATAGGGGACATTTCACATTTAAAGCACGACCCTAATATCAATCATAAAGCTTTTCTCAAATAGTTCAGCCCTATATATTATTTATTCCATCTATAGAAAAAAACATCAATTATTAAATACAATTACATATCGGTCAGTATCATTTACAGGCTAGTTTTTTATGACTGGCATGTTAATTAACACTTTTTTAATATCATTTTATTAAGATTATATGTAATTTGACAAAACAGAAAAAAAAATTAAATTTTTTCGTAACATTGCCGTTCCAAATATTCTAAAAAATATATAACTTTTTACAGTGTACTTAATGTTCTGCTTTTGCCTCTATTCAACTTCTGCTACTGCTACTTCTCAGCGTGTAAGACATCTCCTGCATGTCTGTCTGTGTAATCATTTCCCTGTTGCTCTAAAGAACTCTCAGACTACACTTAGCACTACATAATGCTACACTCATTTAAATTATATGAAATTTCAAACCAGCCTCTGAACAGTATTGACATAAAACTGTCTATACCTTCTGGTGTGCAAGCGGTTCCAGAGCCACTTGGAGAACCTGTCCATGCGCAGGCACCCTGGCCTTACTGACCACTTCCCCCCCGGCAAGGAGCTCCATCTTCTGGATGTCGTCGTGGCTGAGCCAGGGAAGAGGCTGTGGACCAATCCTGACCCTCCTGTGGTCCCTGTCTGGGAAGTCCCGCTCTGTAAATCTCTGACACCAGCTGCTGTCGTCTGTCTTCACGGCTGCCTCAGCTTTGGAAGAAGCTTTTCTATGGTCCAGTGACCTTTGATTCTTCCTCACATCAGGGGGGTCCTCAGGCAGATTGTGGTGTTTTTTGAGATCCCTGGAGGGCTTTTTCACAGCCTGCTGCTCCTTATTGATTTCATCAGATTTCCCTGCATGCTTTGTTGCTTGTCTGTGTTTACCCAAGGCGTGGTGATGTTCCGCTAACTTTGCACTTGTATGGCTGCCATGTATTTGCGTGCCTGTATTCCTGTCTGTGTGTCTATCCCCCCATCTGCCCACCTGTCTGCCTGCAGTCCGTCTCTCACTCATATCTGCCTGAGCAGGGTTATGTGCTGTGGTGGATTTGCCCCTTTCAAGATGAATGTTTGTCTGAGCAGTGTGCTTTACCACAGCATTGTGGTTTCTGGGCTTAATTCTATGTTTTGGCCCTGTGCTGTTGACTATAAACTGTGGGAGATGATGGTGACCGGCTGGGTGCTGCATGGCGCCTGCCATCTCTTTGTTTTTGTGTTTATTTCTGTCTGTGTGACTCTCCTTGTGCTCTCTGTTGATTCTGTTTTTGTCATTGCCCTGTTGTAGAAGGGGCACTGACAGTTTAGATGTCTCTTTTCCTCTGCTGCTTCTCCAGGCCTCATTATGGATGTGAGTGGATGGCTGCTGAAAAGCAGTGGCAGGAGGGGGCTCCACTACCCTTGGCCTGGATCTGAACTCCCCAGCAGAACTCAGGGCGCGGGATGACCGGCGGTCAATGTCAACTGGTGGTGTGGGGAGAGGCAGAGTGATCGTCATTACTGAGATTGTGAGGAGGAGGAGGAAGAGGGGGCACAGGAGGAGCAGCCATTTTTGACCACAGCAGAGCTTTGACCACACTCGCCAGGCCTGCAGAGAAAAAATAGACAAAAAGAGAAGAGAGGCAAAATTACACGTTAGAGGGAGAAAGGCAATAATAAAGTAGAACCGTTTATTTCAAAGATAGCATTTGCTCTAAACAGAGAGGATTCCTACAGGGGCTAACCACAGGCTGCACTGAGATCTCTTGGCTCCGAGCATGTGGAAAACAAATGTTCATGATTTACACTCTGCAAAAAAGGGAGCCGAAAAAACAAATAGCGCTTTGCCACATTATTCCGCTCTGTTCTCTGATATCACAACAGTAATGTGTGACCTTTGAGTGTTTATTCCCCAAAATGGAAATGAGAGCGAAAACCAGGAATTTGGCTACAAGGAGAGACAGAGAGCAGAACTAAAACATCCTGTTCATGCTGCACAAATCTGAATTCACAAGTGGCAGAATATAAAGCTGGTGACAGCCGGCAGTGTGTTTCCACTAGCTCACAGCAGAATTAGATTTACCCAACTGAGACCAATATGATTGTGGCATGCCCATAATTCAGTGCAGTCTTCTGCATGCAATGCACAGCAAGGGGAAAAGCCATATCTCACTAAACACCCTGTCACCGCTCCAATATGGCTCATATTGTACTCTATTATAAAAGTAATTTTGCTGTAGGAACTCAAAGTCCTTTCCCGTGATTCAGTATGTATTTAGTGTGGAGTCAAGGCAAACCATACCGTATTTCTATTAGATGCATTTAAACAGTGAATTGCAGATATCCAAAATAAAGACTTAAAAATACCTACTCTTCATATCAAGTGTTCAACTCTTACTCTTTGTGATAGAAACCATTTAAACATAAAATACAATTAAAACTGTAGTAGTGACGGCTGGTAATTCCTCTGCAGACACGGTGGCCTTGCAGTGGAAAGATAAACAGTAATAGAGGAAGCATATCCCAGAAATGAGTCTTCCTTTCATTCCCAAAACTGGAATCATGCCAAACACTGAAACCTGAACCATGCCCCGTCTTTTTTTTATTCTCACCTACTTTAGAGGTAAAGCCATAGGTGAAAGGCTGCAGTTTTCTCTATAGAATGACCTAGATAGCTGAAGCCTCTGTGCTTTTCCTCGAACTTCTCCTCCTTCCCTTCATTTAGGTGAGGCAGAATGAAGGAATGTTTCAGACCCTTGAGATGTCTTCCCCATCTCAGAGCCGTTAACAACATTCCCAGATCCCTCCACCTGTGAAAGGATCCCATTATTCTTCCACTGGACTGGAATTCCTGAATCAGGCTCCCTGCGCTGGCAGCGGAGGTCCTGAGAGAGGTTGACATATTATAGAGTGCAAATGTATCAGCCAGACACATATTTAACCATTGCTGGGATGCATATTTATGTTGCAGTGCAGAGTATGGGCTCCTGCTATTGGATCTACAGGACTACAGCAACATTGAGCACTTTTCAGTCCACTATGGAATGAAAATGGGTCAGAAAGCATTTTAATGCCACTGATGGCTGCATTTAATGTGAGACTTCTGTGGATCACACTGTATAAATGTCATTGTTGAGAGACTTCTTATAGCTCATATATAACCACCTCATTCCAGTCAAATGACGTAGTGTTTACCTTATAAAATGAATTAAAGCTTCAACTATGAGTCAATCCACAGAAAATGTATCTGCAGCGACATATGAAATGGATTTCAGTTTTACAGTAAACCATGAGTCATATTCTGGATAGTTTGTTTAAATGTTATCTTATTTTTGTGCTCTGTTACATCTGTCGCACTCAACAGCAACATGGATTTGATTTGTGTAGTAAAACATGGCAGGACCGATAGACGGTGTCAGCACTACAGATATGTTTACAAATGCAGAGTAAGTGAACTCAATGGAATGGCGGAAATAAAGTTTTCAGCGTTACCTACTTCGATTGTGACTCAGGGTTTGACCCAGTTGCCGAACCACCGCTGTAGATTATCAGAGGACATCGAGGAAGACATGTTCAACTTGGTCCTCAGACTGACTGTTGTAGATATCTACTGCTCACTATTACTTGCCACTTCATTGTAAACTCTTGTTTCTGTCATGATCCTGTAAAAAGTCTCTGATTTCCCTTTGTTCTGATTGGTCAGTAGTTGGGCCGGGTTTTGATTTGTTATCATTAACTAAGCCTGCTCCAGAGCGGGTTAGTAGTTAGAATAAGTTGCCATGGTGATTTACCCTGTAAGAAAGTTCTGACACTAGGACTCTTTGGATTCCCTCCTCATCAGTAAACTCTGTCTGAGTCAGCATTGATGATTGTATTTTCATACCATCAATTTTTACACCATGGTGAGACCGCTCCAACCTTAAAGCAGACAAATATAATGAGGGGTTATTTATGATATTTATGTGTGCTCTGCTTACAGTCAGAAACAGTATCTACGATAATCCTGATAACCCTTGGCCTTGTTTATAACTTCTGTCACTATCTAGAACCACTGCTATTAACACAAAAGCATGTCACTAAATATTAATGAGTAAAACGCTTCAGTCTTGTTTTTGTTGCCGTGTGCTATCTCTTCCTTCATCCTATATACACCCTCCTCTGTGTTCAGGCTTGTTTTGGCTGAGCATCGCTAATTAGCTTCCAGGCATGTAAAGCTGTAGAGTGTGAAAGTGTCATGAGCGTGTGTTGTTGATTCTCTTAAATGCCTCTCTGCAGAAAACACACACAACCAGGCCACCAAAAGGTCAACAGAGACATAGCTGGAGACACATACAGAACATATGTACATGTATGTTGCATGATATGGTTGGATGTACTGTAATGTCTGTGTGTTTTGACTAAGTTGCAGAGTGAAGACTTTGACAGAAACCACTGTGAGATCACTATATGTAGTGATCTCACAGTGGATGAGTGTGGATTTATGGGTGAATGCACACACACACACACACACACACACACACACACACACACAAACACACGCACACACACACACACACACACACACACAAACACAGGCACACACACAGACAGCTTTTGCTGAGATAAGAACCACAACATCTTTAACTACATGGGGTTACACAATTGAAGTTATTCATTTTTCATTTGCTTTCACAAATAAAAATGACACTATTACTGGCAGGCTAAATATATTTTCTACTTGTTATCGCCCCAAGTTCTTTTTCTTTTCTGACAGGTTGTTTGTGTCTGTGTTCCTCCCTCCCTCTTTGTCTGGCTCTCCACAACAGCCAAAGGCCAGCAGCCCCCCCGCCCACCCTCAACACATACATACGTATACACGTCTTCCCTTAACAACCTCTAGCCTGCCCTGACAGGCTGGTGTCTGACTATTTGACAGCTTTCTGCCTCTTCTCCTACTTTCCTTTCTCTTCCTTTTCTTTTTAATATCCCTCAATTTCTACTCTGCCAGCTGAGGGCTGCAGGGGAGGTATGCAGCACCAGGCGGAAACATGCAACAGGTGCTGCAGCCCGCCAGAGGGGCTGAGGATGTCTCTTAGCAGAAAACTCTGATTACACCTTCTCATCTGTGAGACCATTCATCAAGAGGCAAGAAAAACAATGGTGCAGGAAATGTAAAGCAGCATGAGACATGTGAATGTACTCTGTCCAAAACTACTACAACTGTCTTATAGCAAAGAACAACCAGAGAAGGCCAAACAGAGCAGATGGAGTTCTTCACATCAACAACTGGAAACTGGCCATCAGTTAGGGAGTGCTTTAGCTAACCATCTGTACTGTAGATGGTGTTACACAGTTAAAACACAGATACAAACTGGTTTACCACTTTTATGGGAGGCTACATATATTCAGCAAGAAGTGTGCATGAACGATGGGAGTATTATGTGTCCAAGATGGCACCAAATCTGGCACTGACACTTCCTGTACACAAGTGCAATAGAAAAAGAGACAAATTTGAGAAAAAATGAAAGAAAAAAATGCTTTTAAATATTAAAAACTCTAAAATGTCATTGTGACACTGACATATGACATTTTGTGTGTGTGTGTATTTCAGCTTTCAACAGTGGCCTTGTCCTTTGGGATTGGACGTTAATAAAACCAGTCCTCTTTCTCTGTCTCCCATTCACAAACAAAGACAAGCACAGGAGAAAAGATGCAATGGAGATGCAAAAAGCAATGCAGCATGAGCAAACTGACGCAGCGTGACGTAGGCTGCGTGCAGCTGCAGCTCAGTTTATTGTGTGAGGATGATGACAACACAGGAAAGATGAAAAGTAAATGTGCTCTCCAGAAAGATCACAGCCTGGTGCCATTCAATGGTGCTATAAGGACAATGAAGAGAGAGAGGCAAAAGGAAGAGGAGGTGAGGTTAAAATTTCTGCATTTTAAATTTAGGTTTTGCAACACAGAGGAACGATGCATTATTAATGCTGAGACCATAAGTCATAAGTGGACGGAATGCACTGTGTATGGAGTTTCCATGCGTCGTGCACATTGATTCATGTATTTCACGACTGTCCTATGAATAAGAATATACCTAATGATTACCACAGAAGAAACTAAACACTGTTCTTCCTGTCAGTGAAATGGGAGTGTCCCGCTGTCCTGCTGTTATTTTCTCTTCCGGGCGCATTCATTGAATCCAATTACAGACTTGAAATTTGAGATATAGAATACATCAGTTGCGGCCTTCCTGAGGAAAATGAAATATTTCTAATGAAGAGGGAAGACAAGGGCTCTAAGTTCTAAAGTATTTTGTAACTCACAGCAAAATATACTCTTAAGTTTGAGATCTTAAATCAAGTGAGCTCTCCACACCGGAGTGTGGACCTAATTCCCAGCAGACACATCCACAAAGCCAATCTATTAATTCCCTTTTTCAGGGCTGTTCATTACAAACCACCTCACCTGAGCTAACTCAGCCTTTGAGCCAACCATTTTCCTATTGTGCTCCCAGACGTCATTAAAACTTCATACCATTCTTTAAGTTGTGTATGGTCCACTGCTGGTGTTTCATCATGACCATAAACAGCAAAGTCCCTACACAATTTCACAGAGGTACTCAATTTAGTA